AAAGGAAATTATCTGGTAGAGTTCATGAAAAGTTAATACTTTTTTTGCCAAGCATGCGAGACTCAGCCCAATACCAGGGCAAAAACTTTCGTCGTTTAGCGTTTCAATCTTTTTCATTAGCATAGAATCCGAACAGTTGTAAAAATATTGCAAGCAAATGAATTTTACGTACGGTTCTTCGCCTATCGTTGGACGCATCACAAAGATTATTGTAGCTAGGGGGATTATTGGTACCATCTCGAGATCTCAACAAACCTTATAGAACTGTTTCTTACAATCAGTTGGCCTTTTAATAGCTTATTTCGATCTGCAATTTAGCATACCATTCACGATTATTAATATTTAAATATGCAAAGGATATGGTAACAATAAATGCTCCGACAACACTACATAATATTAAAAGTTCGAAGCGTTACATTGTTGGGGGCTAACTACTATTCTTAGTTTTTACATATTCTTACATAAATGTCTATATTCATTTGCCTGTAATAACATATTAGTTCATTTCATTTTGTCAGTGATGTTATCAGTACAACCAATAAAGGTTAAGATTTATACTTGCTAAAATAATCAAATTGAGGGTAGAACTTACATTTTTAATAAGATTTGAATCCAAGCGTTTTGTTGTGTCGATTGATAATAATGAGTCTTGAGAAATACTTATCAGATTTTAATACTATCTGATAAGCGAAATAAACAAGTTGACATGAATTATTGAATGCAGTTAGTCAAATGCATTTCCTCACTTTTGAATGAAAATATTTTTTCTTGCATATTCACTTTTACATAGAAATGATTTTTATTTTACTTAAAATACCATAGATTTGTATTTGCATAAGTTTAATTTTTCATATGTTATTTACATAAATTTAAACATAAAAATAACTTTAAATAAAAGTATAACCTCAATTAGCTCATGCCAACTTCTTCATTGAATGGCTCAGTAACATTCTGAAACGCTACAAGATGAAATGTAACGTTCATAGCAACATATCATCGCACATTATTCTAACAGTATTTCCGTTAGCATTATATAGAGCTAACATTTTCTGTTCACATTATATCTAGAATGTAAAACTCACTGACATTCCAAAAATGTGGTGATAAAGTATTGTAATTGTTTTTGAAATTCCAACAACTTATCATATTAAAATCATGACTATCATTTCGTGAAAAAACAGCTTCATCGAAATTACTGCTGAATCTACGCACTATGCACACAACATACGTAGTACAAGAATCGAAATTATCGATTCATCAATTTGACACCAAATACCACTCTACATACAGCAGATAACTAAAGTATGTATGCATTCTCACCAAAGTGTTAGCAGCTATGATTGTCAGGGCAATTTAATGCCCTTCTCAAAGAGATTCAAAGCTATTGTATTCCACAACATGAAGATTTCATCAGAGACAGTAAGAAGCCGAAATTTATGAAAATTTTAAAACTCAAAGATTCTCAAAAGAAACTAATCAGAGGCAAGAAGCATGCATATTTATTATAAATTTCAATAATTTAACCCCTTTTCGTTACTTCATCATGCTCAGCAATTCCTTCGGAATTTCCCTCCTTTATCAATTTACTTGAATTTTGCAAGCACTTCTGCATTATCATCGAAATTAAGCAGTCCCTCTATAAATGACCACAGAAGCTATAATAAACTGATGAATTCTAGTAAACATGTAGATAGAAGTATTATTTTTAGTGTAATTATGAAAAAAGTCTAGTGCAAACAAAACAAGCGCGTGAATAATCCCAAAATAATATTTTTTTATTTTATTTAAAAAGTCAATTTTTATTAGAATAGGTGAAGTACTATACGAAAACAAGAAATTCAGATTGTAAAATATCTTATTTAATATCATGTTGATGCATTTAGACTGTGGTCTCAGTGCAAAAGAAAAAATGCTCAATCTTGCTTTGTAGTTGTGAAGAATTGTGCGAAATTTTGCTTTGATGTTCTTTAATAAATTGTTTCGTTTCTGTATGCATCTTATTATTAAGTAAGCAGCTCAAATGAAAAAGGTAGAAAGAAGCTTATTTTATGCTTTCTTAATGCCATTTTTGCTACTATCAAATTCTGTGTTAGTTTTATTGTAATTGTATTTGGCAAATTTGTTGTGAGGAAACTTGCAGATTGCTGAGCTCACTGATCAATTTGTATAGCATTGCTGAAATATGAGCACTTCAGCATAGCTAATCCTTATCATTCAATGACGCACTATCTGTATTCGCCTAATTCTTGAATGATTTCTAGAGGATGGTATTGATCACGGCTTTTAAAAAGTTTCTGCAATTTCCCATGTTTTTTGGACGTAAAGATGAGTGTTGTGTTTTTTTGCTCTCGACTCTCTGTTAAGGTTGGTAGCTACGAAAGTGAATCTATTGCTGAGTTGAAATTTGTCATGAGAGCTTTTAAGATGAAACTGAATTACATTAAAGTGAACTTAGCAGACTGTAAGGTGTAAAAATAGTAACGATAGTAATGTGACAGTTTTGATAGTTTTAAGTATGGTATATATTTTGTTGACAGATTATTTTGGTCTTGTCTGAAATTGTTGTGGGATGACACAGTATCACAGGATAAAAAAGTGAGATATAAAGAGAGATGATAAAGCGGAAAAAGTAGAAAATAATGATTAAAAAACGAATGAAGTGAGGAAATGAAAGAAGTGGGATATATAATAAAAAAAGAAGAATATGCTGTACATCCTAGCTGTCATTTTCATTAGCAGCTTGAAGCTGTTAGGTTTGTTCAGAACTTCTTTGGTAACTGCTCTATCTCTGTGTTTTTGACAAATTTTCACAAAGTTATTCTTCGTTGAATATGAAAGTGTTCTCGTTACGATAAGTAGTGAGTGCACGACAAAGAAATGAAGTGATAACGATATGTGATAACTAAGATAAATGTAGAAGGATGATAATAACATGCTTATATTTGCCTTCAATTTTGTCAGTAATGGTATGTGCAAAAATTTTCATGAGGCTGAGCAATTTCAAGTAGCACGAAATTAGCGGAGTAGCTATGGGTAAGAAGCAATGATGCTTGGGCAATTTCTTGCCATTAAGTAGTTTCTTCAAGCAATATTTTCTGAAGACTGTTCTGTGAAAATGTTCGATTTTGTCTGTGTAGTTGTAAGTGCGTCCGATTCCGTTACATTAATCTGTATTTGGTTGTTTCGTTTTCGTATGCATTTGCGTTTCAAAAAAAAAACAAAATTTGGAATAAGGAAATAAAGCCTATTTAGGATGGCGGGTATTTCTATGTAATTATTCTGATCAACTTGGTATGGCATGAAAACAACTACCGAGAATATGTATTATTGTAATGCAACCTTGTTATTACATTGCAGTGGTAGAATTCTTTTGAGTGTAGTTTTTAAAAGATAATTTAAATAGTAATGAATTTGTGGCGATAGATTGGATAAGGATTAAGGTGTAAGAAATAACTGTCGTTAAATTTGACAATACCACTTTTTTATATATTTGGTAATTAATATTTTATTTTCCGATTTCTTCATTACTGTTACTTTAATTTGCTCTTAGCACTTAATTGTAAGTCCCATTTATTTCATGATGTCCATCGTCGTTAAATTGCTTCGGATGGTAAGTTGTTTAAATTCTCACGCTTTATCCTGATAATGTTAGATCCCTCTTCGGCTAATTTTACAATTTATGAGATGATCTGAGCAAAAGACTAATCTGTTTAGGAATCCAAGTTGGTACTCAACTAAATTCAAAGTTGAGTATCAACTTGGATTCCTTCCTACGTAGATCTTTTTTCATCGGAAAAGCAAGACAGATTGTATAACATTTGGTATTACTTGTTTCATAATCAAATTTAAAAACTCCTATTTTCAAACATAAAATGTGTTGTAAATTTGATTAAAATATTGGTTGTTTAGGCAAAAAGATGCCTCTGATTCAGGGAATTAACAAAATTCGCTCTTTGCTATAGAAGAGATAGTTTTTAAATATGATGTGGTCTAATATGTATGGGATTATTTGCTAATGCTTGCATGAAAAATCTCATTAATTCTTTGCAGATTTCACGAACTAGGTGCAACTAAATTTCACTTAGATTGGATCTAATTTGTATTTCGCTAATTTGTGATGGACTTTTTATTTCGATTCTCA